AAATTGTCAGCTGTTCTTGACATGTATGTATCCCCGTTTAATTGGCCCTTTCACTTCATTTTATTAAAATTTAAATAACAGGGTTTTAAATGAATAATTTGGTTTGGGTTCAGCAACAACAAAAATGTCATGACCACCAACATATCCACACACACACACACACAGAAACCTCTTCAAAAAGAAAATATTCAGGGGTTAAAATCATCATCATCCTCATCGTAATTTTAATTAATGTCATTTTCTGTGCATTGTTGTTTATCCGGCTAAAACAGGGTAATTTAATGCAGATACGCGTATATTCAAAACAAAAACAACAACAACAAAATTCCCTTACTTGACATTTTGTAAATATGGGAAAAGAAATATTCATGGTACACTCTCTCATACAAGCATTGACACCTTAAACAAATACACTTTAACACGAACGTCCTTACTCACACACGCACATTTCATTTCAGCCATTTTGTGTGTGTGAAAACGTTGTTATAAAGTGGTGCGTGTGTGTAAATATTGGCATGACATCACTTTTGTCGTGAAATTTTTTTCTTTACTGCTGTAGTAAATTTTGTCAGGTGATTTGTGTGAGGGCAAAGGGATGGGGAACTTTTGTTGTCATCATCATTGGTTTAAATATAGATTTTCCATTTTCAAGGGAAATGGTGAGGGTAGCTGATCCCATTTTCGTAAATTTGATTTTAATTCTTCGCTTTGTTTAGATTTCTGGCCATGACAGGCGTTTGTCCTACATTTTGGCTATCAGTATCGCCCCGAATAGCCTAAAAATAGGCACCACTTTTAATATTAATTTTTAGTTTTAATTTATTTACCTTGAAATTCAAACCTCTTAACATTTTTAAGATCACAAATTGACATTAAAAGTACATTAATCCTTATCTCTAGATATTGCCTAAAACTATGCACCACATTTCAAAAATATCAAAAATATGCTACCTTTATTGTTGATTCATCACAAAATATTTCCCTCCCACAAAAAAAAACATATTTTTTCAAACCCATTTTTATGACATTTAAAACGTTTTTCTGGCAGAGGTGTGACAAACATTAATGAACTGATAGGTAAATCGTCCAAAAACTGACAACGAAAACAACGCCAAACGCAGAAATGTGACATTTTTACGCAAAGTATTCACGAACAAACAAAAGATTCAGCGATAAGCCACGTTTTAATTTCGCGTTCATTCGTTCTCGGTAGTAATTGCATATTCATAAAACAAAAACGTTTTGGCCGTCAAACCAGGCATGGAGAAACAGCTGAGCAGAAACAAATATTTAAAAAGGAAGCAAAAATAACCTCTGCTCCTCCTCTACTTTCTTCCCTAAAAACGGGATAATTATTACATCAGTGTCTAACGGTAAAATGTCACGCCATAAAAAAAACAAACTACAACAAAAAAAAAATATTCGCATATACTTAATGAATTCCCTTCCACTTTTTTTGTCTCTGTTATCAAGGATCTGTCATGTTTGCCTTGTGTGAGAAGGTATTTTTGCCGACTTACACATGCCAGTGGATTAAAGGAAGTCCAACTGATGGTAGGGAGGATTTATAGGAGGAGATGGTGGTGCGGAATGGTTGGTTATTTACGAGGGGAGAACAAGGAGTGAAAAAAGTAATCTGAGAGAGAGATTAAAAAAATAATTTTATTTTATAAAAATATTTTTATGAAACACAAATATTTTTTATACCCTTCACCACACTGTGGTACAGGGTATTATGTCTTTGTGCATGTGTTTGTAACAGGCAAAAGGAATCGAGATAGACCCATCGTTCCTTTTGAGAATATGAATAGAATCACTTTCTGAGTCAAGTTACGCATGTCCGTCTGTCCGTCCATGTATTTTGTGAACAAAGTACAGGTCGCATTTATCATCCGATTTGAATGAAATTTGGCACATGCCAATAATTTGGCCCAAGGACGAACCCTATTGAAATTGAAAAATATCGGTTCAGATTTAGATATATCTCCCATGTATAGTTTCATTCGATTTTATGTAAATGTTGCACCAAAACCCCAATATTTGTCCGATCGGGACAAAATTTAACACAGCGCCCTGAATCAGGTCCATGATTATGTGTGCGAAGTTTTGTTGGAATCGGTTAAGATTTAGATATAGCTCCCATATATAGTTTTGTCCGATTTTATGTAAATGTTGCACCAAAATCCCAATATTTTTCCGATTGACACAAAATTTTGCACAAAGTTCTAAATTAGGTCCAGACTGATGTCTGCGAAGTTTTGTTACAATCGGATCAGATTTAGGTATAGCTCCCACATATAGTTTCGTCCGATTTTTGGTGAAACTCCTAACATTTGTCCGATTAGGACAATATTTTGAACAGAGTACTGATTTAGGTCCAGACTGGTGTCTGCGAAGTTTTATTAAAATCGGTTCAAATTTCGATATAGCTCCCATATATAGTTTCGTCCGATTTTATGTGAATGATGCACCAAAATTCCAATATTTGTCCGATTGGCACAAAATTTTGCACAAAGTTCTGAATTAGGTCCAGACTGACGTCTGCGAAGTTTTGTTAAAATCGGATCAGATTTAGATATAGCTCCCATATATAGTTTCGTCCGATTTTTGGTAAAACTCCTAATATTTGTCCGATTGGATCAAAATTTTGCACAGAGTACTGATTTAGGTCCAGACTGGTGTCTGCGAAGTTTTATTAAAATCGGTTCAAATTTCGATATAGCTCCCATATATAGTTTCGTCCGATTTTATGGAATGATGCACCAAAATTCCAATATTTGTCCGATTGGCACAAAATTTTGCACAAAGTTCTGAATTAGGTCCAGACTGACGTTTGCGAAGTTTTGTTGAAATCGGATCAGATTTAGATATAGCTCCCATATATAATTTCGTCCGATTTTTGGTGAAACTCCTAATATTTGTCCGATTGGGTCAAAATTTTGCACAGAGTACTGATTTAGGTCCAGACTGGTGTCTGCGAAGTTTTGTTGAAATCAGTTCAGATTGAGATGTAGCGCCCATATATAGTTTCGTCCAATTTTATGTGAATGATGCACTAAACTCCCAATATGTGTTCGATTGGCACAAAATTTCGCACAGACTAATGTATGCGGAGTTTTGTTGAAATCGGTTCAGATTTATATATACCTCCCATATATAGTTTCGTCCCATTTTTTGTGAATGATACAACAAACTCCCAATATTTGTGTTATTGAGTAAAATTTTGCATAGCGAATGCTATTGAGAAAAAAATGATGCGTGATAAAGTTTGTTGAAATCGGTTCAGATTGTGATATAGGACTTATATATATTTTCATTCGATTTTATGTAAATAGTGGTTACACGAAATTTGGCAGAGGATATTAAATTGAATATAGTGATTACAAAAAACAAATGGTGTATGCAGCGGATACTCAATTAGGTCCATGTCTGTCCGTTTGACATGAAATTTTTCATTGATTTCAGAATGGTATGTGTTTGGGTTTTTTCAATTTGTTCAAATATCTATCTCGATAGCACATTTAATTTCGCCCGATTTCATCTCAATGGTCCTTCAAAGATTCTATGCCTGTTCTATCTATAGGATATGTTCTATAAAGGATATAACATGTCTTGCATGTACCCAAAGTGGTGAACTTTCGTTCGACTTTTGAACTTTCCTTACTGGTTTTATATTAAAATAGTTATATGATTTGTTCCGTTTTTCGGTTTAGTTCTAAGGCTCTGTTGTAATCATTTCATCTGCGGAAGATACGAAAAAAACTAGAACATAAGATTCGATAATTAACTATATATTCGATAATATAACTATATATTCATATATATGAACTGTAACCCGCATTTAGCCCTAGCCCCTGTGTAGGAGGTACCAGAAGGAGTGGACCGATATTCCCCATGTTCGAACTTGAACTAATTTTGGTAGAAGTAATAAGATGTGCAAAGTTTGGATGAAATCAAAATTTTTGGAAACAAATTTAGTCCAAGGAAACATGGGTTCTAGGACCAATATTTAGAACTATAATCGGGTTGAAGAACTGTCGGCAAAGGTACACTTTTTGGTATATTCCCTATATTTTTATGTCAAGTACCTGTCATTATATCTATGGTGGAGGGTATCCAAAGTTCGGCCCGGCCGAACTTAATGCTTTTCCACTTGTTTTATGTTATATTCCATTCCAAAAAAAGAACTATTTCCAAATTAGTTATCTTTCCCCTTTTTGGTTAAATTCTAACTTTGCTCGCCAAAAATTTTACGCAACCCTTCTGCTGCACAGCCACACCAACCTCAATTCCGGCATTTTACACTTTACCTCATTTACAGTTTTTGGCTTCATTACCATTAACATGATGCTGCTAGTGTTTGTAGTGGAATATTATTGCACGTTGTTGCCATACTTTGTCGGTTAAGTGGTTCGAGTCCTCCTTTCTTATGTTCTCGGTACTCATACATTCATTAAATTGGGTGGTTCTTTTGCCTCACTTTTACAAAAGAAAAAAAAAACCTTTCGTTCGGTTGGGGTTGATGGTGGTTGGCTGCTGGTTTGTTAACCCAGAGAAAATGAGACGACAAGATGTTATCTTGCTTGGGTTAGGGTTTCTGTGCCTTTGTTCTAACATTGTCATACCACACGTTTTAACCTTTATGTCTGCCCCGACCCTTCCCCCGGGGAACATGAACTTTGGCCCAAACGTTCAAGTGGTAATGCAAGAGACACATGATTCTTCTTTGTTTTGGCATTTTACATAATATATGTATATATATATATACATATTTTTATAAATATTTGCCAAGAGTTCACATGAGCTTGCTGCTGTTGATGGCTACGCTAATTAGGTGTTCACAAAGACCCTGTAATATACGGGTTGGTAATAATCAGCTGTTAATGAGATGGAGATCCAAGAAATATACTTATTTAAAATATGACAAATTTTTGAATATAAATATTATGTATTTATATAATTTTCCTAATGTGTATTTGTTTTTTGTTATTTTCTTCCAGGTTCGAACCCTTTTCGTTAGTGGTCTGCCCATGGATGCAAAACCACGTGAATTGTATTTGTTATTCAGAGCTTATGAGGTAAGTTGATATTATAAAATTGAAGAATAAAACAAAAATGCCGCCTAAAAGTATGCATCACACATTGAATTTTTTTTCAAACTTCATAAAAATGTATTGCCTATATATTAAATTTTTTTGTCCCTTATTATTGATAATGAAAAATTAAAATTAAATTTAAAGAGCTGATGAATTTAGACCTTATAATTTTTTTTATTTTATAATTTTTGGTTTCTTATAAATTTTAACTAATAGGTACATTCTGATATTACCTTTAAAATGAATATCAAGCCTTATAATATATTTTTTCGGTGCCTAAAAGTAGGCACCACACATAAATATCTTTCCTTATATATCCAGAATTGAATTGTTTATTATTATTTTTTTTTCTCCACATAAAAAATTAAAATAAAATTTAAAGAGCTGGTGAATTTGGATTTCTGATTTTATTCGGTGCCTAAAAGTATGCACCACACATTGAACTATCTTTAAAACTACTTGAAAATGTATTGCCTATATATTAAATTTTTTTAGTCCCTTATTATTGATAATGAAAAATTAAACTAAAATTTAAAGATCTGATCCGAATTTGGAATTCTGATATTATTGGGTGCCTAAAAGTATGCACCACACATAAATATATTTCCTTGATATACAAGGAAATCGAACTGTTTGTTATTAAATGTTTTTCTCCACATTAAAAAATTAAAGTAAAATTTAAAGATCTGATCCGAATTTGGATTACTGATATTATTCGGTGCCTAAAAGTATGCACCACACATAAATATATTTCCTTGTATATCAAAAAATCGAACAGTTTGTTATGAAATGTTTTTCTCCACATTAAAAAATTAAAGTAAAATTTAAAGATCTGATCCGAATTTGGATTTCTGATATTATTGGGGGCCTAAAAGTATGCACCACACATAAATATTTGTCCAAAATTGAACTGATTGTTATTAATTTGCTTTTTTTTCCACAATTTGCAGGGTTATGAAGGATCTCTATTGAAAGTGACCAGCAAAAATGGCAAGACTGCATCGGTAAGATTAAAAAAAAAATAAATACAATTTTTATGCAATGTTAAAATTATTATATTAATTAATTTTTGAAATAAACATATCACATCACTTATGCTAAATGAATTTTGTATACCGTTTTTTTTATTCTCTCCCCCCTCAAAAAACAAAAAAAAAATCAAAACACCCACTCTCTATATATTTCACCAAAAATAAAACACACACCGATACACTCACTAAATGGTCCCCCCTACGTTGCAACTGAATTTGAACACAACCACAGCCTGTTGGTTTTGTTACATTCCATACACGTGCGGGCGCTGAGGCCGCCAAACAAGATTTACAGGTAATAAAAAAAATAATAATTAAAATGGTTATAATTATTAAAAAAAATATACTTTAAAAAAAACTAACAACCAAAAATTGTAAACTATTTTGTATAACTTTAGAAAAAAATTGCAAAAAAGAAAACAATGAAAATCTTTAGAACAGATTAAAAGAAATCGAAATATAGCTTGAAAAAAAATATGCACCACACATTACTATTTTTTGCAATGAAATGGCATTTCTATATACATATATTATATATTCTATATAAACGAAAAAAATGCCTGTGGTATAAGACATGAAATAATAAACTATTTTTCACCAACCAAAGCAGAAGAAAGCAACTCAAAAAAATAAAATAAACTTAAAATTAATTGCTTGATTTATTTTATGTGGGATTTTTTTTTTAGTTTAGCTTGCACCACATTCACATTATTTGTTCAATGAAATTGATGACAAAAAAAAAAAAAAAAGAAATCGCCTTTGAGTATAAATCATCTTCTTATTATGGGGTCGTCTGTAGCTTGCTCTGTCCTTTCATAGTTTTTTTTCTTACTCTACCACCTCTCGACTTGTTCTCGCTCTCTCTGTCTCTAGTTATTGTACACGCCATTTATAAAACTGCACCATAAATTAAATTTGAAATTATTTGAATACCCACAAAAAGAATTGTTGGTGTATTTCATAAGGTCTATTGGGTCCCTGCACAATCAAGTCCATTTCATTAGAGGTCTGAATTATTTTTTTTTTAATTTTAAATTCAAACAAATGCTGTCGTGTCTGTTCCCAATATTTCAACATTGATTAATTTCCTTTACCATCTAGCCTCAGGTTTTGATTCAAAATTCTCCTAATTTTTTTTTTTTTTTTTTTTTTGTTATTTTTTTCAAACATTTCTTGTTCTAAATTTCTCTAGCAGTCATCATTAATTTTCTTTATTTATAAAATAAAATTTATTTGCATAAATAAATTGCTGTACATGTGTGCTGCTGGCACTGATTTTTCATTTGGGAAACAAAATTTTTGAATGAATGAAAAAGGTTGAAATTAGGAAAATTAGAAAAAGAATAATAAAAATGTCATTTCATTAAAGAAAGATTCTAAAATCAAAATAGGTAATATTATATAAAATTAAAATTTTATATAAAAAAAATAAATTTTTAAATTAAATTTTTAAATCATTATTTTAAAACAAACTTTATAAGCATTAAATTAGTAGTAGGCCTTATGGAGACCCAATATATTCAATTCCCAAGAACTTTTAAGAAATATTTTCAAACCCCCCCTTAGAAACATTTTTCTATTCGATTGCAGCACAAAGTTATATACAAAATCCAAATAAAACCCCCGCAATTTTGCACCTCAGATCGGAATATTTCTTCTCAAGACCCCAACCTACCACAGAATGTAATCGGAAATGAGACAATGGAAATGTATTTTGTAATGCCAAATATATATGTAGTAATAAAATTAAGAACCAACAAATCACCAAAAATCTACACCATAGCAAATCAAATCAAAGTAACGAAACGAAAATTATTTTTGGCGAATTGTTAAGACATTGAAAGTAAATAAAAACAATTTTTTTCTTAAAAAAAGTTCAATTCAAAAAAATATATATTTTTTTTAAATTTGAAAAAAAATAATTTCCAAAAAAAAATTAAATATTTGAAGAGATACAAAATAACTTACAATTTAACACTGAATTTTGTTTTTAACCACCAACAACAAAAAAAAATTATTTAAAAACAAATACCAACCGCTGTATTATTAAATTTACAGCAGGGTGTACGCTTCGATCCCGATATGCCCCAAACAATACGCTTGGAATTCGCCAAGAGTAACACGAAAGTGAGCAAACCCAAACCACAGCCCAATACAGCGACAACAGCCTCACATCCTGCATTGATGCACCCACTCACTGGACGTAAGTAAATTTTAAGTACAAAAACAAAACAACAATAATTATTTTTTTTGTGTTTTATTTTTTTTGATTTTGGTTTTTATTGTTGTTTGTTTAATATTTTTTGTAGTTAGTTTTTGTTTTTTTTTTTTAAATTTTTTGTAGTTTTGTTTTGGGTTCCTTTGTATAAAAAATAATAAATGAATGACTTGAGTATAATTTTAATATTAATAAGTCCTTCATTTATTATAAATTGAATAAAATTTGGCTATTTGAAGTATTAGTTCAATGCAAGACAAAAAACCAAACGCACTTTTTATAGGTTTTCCAAAAAAAAAAATATTTGTTTGATGTATTTTTTTTCATATAACAACTGATTTATGTAATGAAATAATAAGAAATTTTTTATTAAAACCAAAAAATAAACAGCTTTCGAATAAAGCACTACAATGAAATTTATATATTATTATATTTCTATAATATAAAAAAATTAAAAATACACAGTTCACACAAAAAATCCCTTCAAATAAAAAAAAAAAATAGAACAAATCCCCTTTCTTTGTATTCAAATAAGAAAATTATAATTCTTCTAATTAAAGTTCACTGGAACAAAATAAAAAAAATCAAGCATTGATTATTGTAAGGCACTTGATATCAAATTTGAACATGGATATATTATCTTTCTATTCTCTCTTTAACGAAAAAATATATATCTCACTTTTCACTCACAAAGAAATACCCGCCCCTCTCTTCAATTCCTCATTGAACAAAATAAATATATAACAACAAGAAAGCAAAGCATCAATTCACACAACTCACAGTTACACGTATGAAAAAGAAACAACACTTGTCCAACACCAAACACATAGATAACACAACTCTCACAAAATGAAACACCCACCAACAACACAAACACACATTGAGACACTATAGCGTAAAGAGAAGTAAATTCCCACAAATATTATCACTCTCTTTCTCTCTCGAGATATATAAATATATAGGCGTTATTATCAAAACAAAGACTTAAGAAACAAACGTGTGTCTAAGCAGAGTGTTGAATGAAAAGAGAAAGAGATGACAACTGTAATGTCTCTCTTTGAATAACGGAATGTTCTTGTGACTAAAATAAGAAAAAAAACTTAAGAAACAAACTTCCCATGCGTTGATGTTAATATGGGCAGATGGTTGTTAATCTCAATCGGTGAGAGGGAGACCAACTCTGTCTCCCTTTGAATAACGGAATAACTAAAATACAAAAGACTTAAGCAACAAACATGTCTTCATAAATCAAAGAAAATGAGAAGGGTATTTTAAATTCTCTCTTCTCCGTTTTAATGACGGTGATCACTTGTACTTTAAAAACAAAAGACTTAAGCAATAAACTTGAAATATTTTTCTCATAATATTGTGAGATAACGGAGTTCACTTATAACTAAATTAAAAGACTTAGGCGACAAACTTGAATTCTAGTTAACTCTTTCTCTCGCGTACTACCTTTTTCTCTCTCATGGGGATTTTATTTCCATACAAAGACTTAATCAACAAACTTGATAGCACAAAGACTCCTTAAATCAAAGAAAATGAAATCTCTCTTTTATGTTTTAAAAACGAATATCACTTTTAATTAAAAAAAACAAAAGACTTAAGCAACAAACTTGAATATTTTTTTCTGATAATATGATGAGAGATGCAATGACAATCTTAAGCAGCAAATATAAAATGTTGATAGTAGATTTTTTCTCACGCTCTCTATCCCCCCTCTGTCTCTCTCTCTCTCTCTCCTGGGTTACTTTTTTCAGAAAAAGACTTATGCAACAAACTTTCAATACTCTTTGTATGTAAATAAAAGAGAGAGGAATATTTTTATTTTCCCATTGAATCTGTGAAACATAATTGCAACTACAAGAAAAGTCTTAACCAAGAAACTTGAAATAATTCATAACAATCATTGTGGGCTGGATTTTTCTAACAAAATATGGAATTTTTAAATCGTATTTAATGCGACTATATATTCTATTTTTAAACGATTTTCCCCCAAAACAAAATTATTATTTTTTTTATATTTTAATTTTGTCCCTAATAAAAACTTCAATAACAACTTTGTATTTTCAAAAAATACTACTAACACAACTCAACAAATATCCAAAAAAATAAATAAATAATTCTTAACAAAAAAAATAAACTAATTTCTTTAAATTTTTTTTTAATATTTATAATTATTGTTATGAGAAACAAAAAAAGATAATAATTTATGGCAACTATATATATTTGTTTTTCCCCCTTCTTCTCGTTTTCGATCGTTCGATTGTTTTTTAACAAAAGACAATTATTTTCTCTCTCATAATCAACATGTAGATTTGGGCGGTCCCTTCTTTCCGGGCGGACCCGAGCTATGGCATCATCCGTTAGCCTATTCGGCGGCAGCCGCTGAATTGCCAGGAGCTGCGGCATTGCAACATGCCACTTTAGTACATCCGGCACTGCATCCACAAGTGCCAGTACGCTCTTATCTTTGACTAAATACAGATAAAGTTATGGAACAGCCAATGCATCAAGTGAGTAGTTAAAACATATTTTGAAAAGAAAAATTGAAATAAATATTAATTACAACATATATTTTTCGTGACAGACTCAAATGACCATGCCGCAACATCATCAAACAACCCAAGCTATACATCCATCTATGCATATGTCGGCTGCTGCCGCCGCTGCAGCAGCTGCTGCCGGTTTGGCACCTGGGGCCGCAGCTACCGGGCCATCAGGTGGCGCCCCACCCTCGGGTGGACCACACGCACATCATCCTTTTTTATCAAGTCCCGCTCTAGCGAGCCCAGTTGGTTCTACAAATAATGCAACGCATCCGAATAATCCACCTTTGGCTGCCAATGCACCATGTTCGACATTGTTTGTAGCCAATTTGGGCCAGTTTGTGTCCGAGCATGAACTGAAAGAAGTTTTCTCTAGGTAAGTCAATAAATATGTATTTTTAATATTTATAATTTAATTGTAAATTTCGATTTAAGACACATGTTATTTACCAGAAACACATACTCACACATATTTAAAAAAACTGTTAAATGATTACAAATAGCACTTATTGTTGTTTAAAAACGAAAACACCCGTAACCAAGACACATACACGTTTCACAAAAATCTACATTCCAATTCTAAGAACATGACAGTTGAAATTAAAAAAAATATATATATTTTTTATATAATTTATTTTTCCATGTAATTTTGAATATCTCGAAATGTTTTTGGGCTCAAATTATACTATTCAGCTGAGCTGAATATATAAATTATAAGTTCTCTTGTAATTTTAAATGTTTAAAAATTTATGTTAATCAAAATTGGCGTATTCAGCTGAGCTGAGTTTGAATTTATTTATCAATTATGTCATTTGAGGCGATTTTAAAAGTGTTTTCTTTTAAAACGCACATATTCAGCTGGATTAAAGTGTATTCAGCTAACATTATGTGAAGTTTATTTTATGAAAATATTATAAAAAGGTGAAAATTTGCAATGCAGCTAAAGTTTTCTTAGCTGAATTGAAAAATAAATATATAGATTTTTAATTTTTTAATAAAAATTCTAATTTCCAAACGAAAATAATTAATAAATTTCAAATGTTGTTAGCTAAACTGCAAAAATACTAAATAAATTTCGAAGTTTATTTTTTGAAAATGCTATAAAAATAACGAAAAACTGTAATTCAGCAAATATTTTCTTAGCTGAATTGAAAAATAATTATTATTTTTATTTCTTTTAAATTCCAACTGCCAAGTTCTTAGTAATATATTATTTTTTTTCTATAATTTTGTTATTATTATTTATTATAAGTTTTAAAGCAAAATACCAACTAATTTCTTTAATTTTAATATTTGTTTATGTTATTCTCTTAAAAAAAAACTCACAACAACAACAAAAAACAATATCTGTAAAATTACTCATAATTATAAATATAATTACCACTACCACTAAACCAAAAAAAATTAAAATTAAACAAAAAATATTTGCACAGTATGCCTGGCTTTTGTCGCCTACGAATGCACACAAAAGGTACGCACAATATCACCACTTCTACTACCACTTCCAACACCATCACCACTTCTTCTACTACTACTACTTCTATCACCAATACCAATTATAATAATACAACAACAGCAGCAGCCAACCACAACAACAACAATGGCAGTGGCAACGATACAAATAATGCCCCGATAACTTCGTCCGGAGCAACAAGTTGTAGCACAAATTCAGTAGCCGCACAACAACAATATTTTCATAATGGTGGTATATCGACAATGGCCTCACCCTCGTCATCATCACTGTCCTCCCAGTCGTCGTCATCGTTGTCCGGCAATGCAAATCATCCGGTGGCATTTATCGAATTCAAAGATGCCGCCAGTGCTGCCACGGCCATGCAACAGTTGCAGGGTAAATATTTGCTCTCATCGGACCGTGGTTCCATACGCATTGAATTTGCCAAAAGCAAAATGATTAATGATGGTGGCGGCTCTGGCTCCAGCTCCAGTGGACAACATCAGCAACACCACCAACACAATGTAAATGTCAGTCAGGCCAACAAAATTTTAAATAATATCAGCAGCATGAATGCTTCGGCCCCACCACCACCACCACAAGCACCACCTACCATGACTCTAATAAATCCCCAAGGCTCGGCAATGCTAACACCATCTGCCGGTGCCCCCGGTCCACAGTTGGTAATTTTGAATGGTTATGGCAATCCGGCTGGTTTTGCAACAGCTGGCCCAGCAACACATCAGATTATGTTGCCGCCACCACCACCACCTGTTAGTGCGGCCACAGGTCAGGCCATGGCAACACCACACTATATAAATTGTGGCAACCAACAGCAGCAGCAGGCACAGCAACAGTTTCCACAGCATAATGTTGCCACGGCCATAACAATGCAGTTTAATAATCAACTCCACCCCCACCATCATCCGGCTAACAACTGCAACAGCAACAACAACTGCAACAACATCAATAATAATAGTATTGCAACTAATACCATTGTTAATAGTAATCGTTCAAGTGCACAACCACCAGCACCACTACTACCACCAATACCACAACCACCACCAACACCATTGCAACCACAGCCAACAACTGTCGTTGTCAATTCACTACAGCACCAACTTCATCCAATACCGCACCAAAATCATCTCTTTAGAGACGTATGTATTGTTTCTTTGTACTCCCCCTAAATATTAACTTGGGGGCTTTTCTTTAATCTCTTTATTCAACACCCCGCTCCCCCCCTTTACCTAAGCAATAATCTAATAATTTTTTGTTGCGTTTGCGATTTTTGTTGTTGTTGGCTAGAAAAAAAATATTATTTAAAAAAAAAAATATATTTCGTAATGTGTGTTATTTTTTTAGCAAAAAAAAAAATACATTTTATTTAGCATGTTCATTTTTAAAGAAATATTTTTGTAATATTTAAAAAATATATTTTTATAAAAATTATTTTTATTTAAATACATGTGGTTTTTATGCAAAAAAATATTGTTAGGCAAAAAAATGGTAGAAAAATATATTTTTTTAATTTCTTTAAAAAAAACATTTTATTAGAATAATCAAAAAAAAACCTATAACTATAAATTAATTTTTATTTAAAAAATATATTTTCTCTACTCCAAAAAATATCACTTTTTATTTATTATATTATTATTAAAAATAATATTTTCTACTTTGTTATATATATATATATATATATAAGGAATGTCAATATTTATACAACTTTGTTCATACTTTCTTTGCTGAATACTATAGCTGAATATATTTTCTTATTTAAAATATAATTATTCTCATTGCCATATATATATATATAGGTATATATATATATTATGGTTATATTATGGTTTTTTTGCATACTGAATATCATATTCAGTCAGCTGAATATTATTTTCTAATTGCTGAATAAATGTCTCCCTTATTTGTTACTAGTATTAAAATATTTAATATTTTCCCAGCGGAATCTACATATATTCTTTAGCTGAATAATATTTTTCGATTGCTGAATACATTTGTATACCCTTCACCACACTGTGGTACAGGGTATTATGTCTTTGTGCATATGTTTGTAACATATAAAAATAATCGAGATAGACCCATTCTTTTTGAGAATATGCATAGAATCACTTTCTGAGTCGATTTAGGCATGTTCGTCTGTCCGCCGGTCCGTCCATGTATTTTTGTTAACGAAGTATAGGTCGCATTTATAATCTGATTTGGATGAAATTTGGCACAGGTCACTTAATTGGCCAAAGGACGAACCCTATTGAAATTGGAGAAAATCGGTCCACGTTTAGGCATAGCTCCCATATAAGGGTACCCCCAAATTTTCGGTATTTTGAAGTTCTTGAGCGCGTTTTTTAACTGAATTCGCTGAAATTTGGTACTTTGAGTTCTTATTGGGTAGCAAGTCTCCCTACCAAAAATTATAAATAAAGGTTCAATTTTTCGGATAGGCCCCATATAAGGGTACCCTCAATTTTCGGTATTTTCGGGTTCTTGGGTCCCTTATATAACTGAATTCTCTGAAATTTTGTATATTGGGTTCATATTGGGTACCAAATTACTCCACTAAAATTATAAATATAGGTCTACTTTATCTGGTAGACCCCATATAACGGTACCCCCAAATTTTTGGTATTTTGGGGGTTCTGATCGTATTTTTCGACCGAATTGACTGTAATTTAGTACGTCGAGTTCTTATTATGTAGCAAATGTCTCTACTATAAATTATAAATATAGGTCAATTTTTTCGGGTAGCCCCCATATAAGGGTACACCCCAATTTTCGGATTCTTGAACCAAATTCTTTTTTGTAATTTGGTTTTTTGTAGTCGTCTATGGCAACAAACCTCCTTCCCAAAAATTAATAATATTCGCCCCCTTTAAGGGGTAGTCCCCATAAATCCTCCTTTTTATACCCTTCACCACACTGTGGTACAGTGTATTATGTCTTTGTGCATGTGTTTGTAACAGACAAAAAGAATCGGGATAGACCCATGGTTCCTTTTGAGAATATGCATAGAATCACTTTCTGAGTCCGTCCATGTATTTTTGTTAATAATGTCGCATTTATGATCCGAATTTTGTTGAAATCGGTTCAGATTTATATGTAGCTATAGTTTCATTCTCTCGTCCGATTTTTGTACCCTTACCACACTGTTGTAACGGGTATTATGCCTTTAGGCAAATACTGGTTAGTATTTTATCATTGCTGAATGTTTTACTTGCTGAATACAATACCCCTCTCAGCTGAATTGAGATTTTTATTGACATCAGCAATTTGTATACCCTACACAACTATGTTGTCAGGGTATTACAGCTTTGTGCAGCCCCAAGAGTTTGTAACGCCGCGAAATATTGGTCCTAGGCCCACCTTTAAGTATACCCATTGTCATATCTCGACTAGCTGAGTCGATCTAGACATGTGTGTGTGTCCGTCCGTCCGTCTGTCCATTATAATTTGTAAACACGATACACGATGGGTTCGGTCCAATGAAGACCAAATACTTAATTTTGTCGGTTTTTCTGGTCACTCCAGAGGCCGCAATTATGGCCCAAACATCTCGAATTTTTACATGGAGATGGGGATTGGGCCAAAGAATAAGCATACCTGTTTTGATAAAGATCTGTCAATATTTAGCGAGTCAAATGGACCCTGACATTTGTGAGAAAAATGACGAAATTTGTATACTATAGCGTATTTTATTTACCCCTTTAAATTGATCCAAATTATATTGTCGTATGTACTCGGATGTGGGAGTTACACTTAAATATTTGCATGTGCTTACGAATTCAAATATTATTTAGTAGCCGATTACCACACTGTAGGGTGGTCAGTTCCAGTTATGGTCAAGAACAATGCCCATATTTTTCGGTTATGATCAGATAATAATTTGGGGATAAAGGGGACGGATTTTTTTTTTTTTTTTTTTTTGCTTCAGTCTTACATCAGAACACAACCCATGGTGAAGGGAATATGGACAAGTAATTAGAAGGGCTGTACTGAATATTGGTAATATTTGGAAAATATATCAGTGTAAGGAAGAGGTGATGTTGACCTCGGAATAAAAATCCGCAGAAAGATAGAGTTATGTGGGTATCGTATGGTCGTATGGCCCGCTCACTGTTTTTTGTTTGTTTGTTGTTGTTTTTTTTATTCGATCTATAGGCCACAATTTTAAGCCGGTCATCACAACACAACCCACGGTGAAGGGAATCTGGACAAGTAATTAGAAGAACTGTACTGAGTATTAGTAATATTTGATGGCCTCTAGTCGATGAAGAGGTTGCAAATATCGCGAAATATTGTCCTAGCTCAAAATGTAGTACCACAGAAAGTTAGATTTTCGTGGAAATGGTGTAGGGTATCATATGGTCGGCCCTGTCCGACTATATTGCTCTGCTCCCTGGTTTTATTCTATTATTATTATTTTTTTTTTCAAACAACCATTTATTTATTTTTTTTTTTTTTTTGTTTATATTTTATTAAAAATTAAATCTTCTCTTAACACCAATACAAATATAGATTTATTAAATATTAAATAATAATACAAATATATAATAATACCAATACAAATATAATCCTCTCACGTTTTTATAACCAACAACAAAAACAATTACAAAAACATTACAAGCTCAACAATTTAGCTGAATATAAATTGTTATTGAAAATTGTAAAACAAAAACTTTCTGGAAAAAACTGCATTCCCGTAACAATGGGGTTCTTAATAATAGTTGTTGCAGTTTATAATTCCCTTTGGGTCATATTTTACCTTTTTATAAAAATTTAATGTTAAGTGTTTTTTTTTTTCAATTATAGTCCCCTGTGGTATCAACTACAAATGTCCGTATTGCATTAAATTGAAAATATTAGGGTTCCCTCTATACAATTTTGTATTATTTGTATATTATACACATATCTTTTAAATGGGTGTTTTCTTAATTTCGTTACACCCGAATATAACATGTAATGAATGAAAATTATTCCCCACCCACCATCGACAACAACAAAACTTGTTTTTGTTTGCTCTTTTCACCCTTTGTTGTACTCGAAGTAATTTTGCAACAATTTGTCGTGACTACATGTTTTCGGGTTTTTTTTTCGTTTCGTTTCTATGTGTGAAGGTGTGTGTGTATGTGGGGGAACAAACACAACACCAGTGTTGTTTTGTTCTGTTGTTTGGTATTTTGTATTATTGTTCGGTTTGGTTTATTTCCATTGTTATTATTGCCATGCTACCCTATATTTTATTCTAATGGAGGGAGCAGTGACAAGGCATGGATGGTACTTATTTTACCCCTTACCCCGTCCATTTGCAACGAAATATAAAAGAAAATTCATGTTGGCACGAGCTGAATGAATGAACACGAAACGATGTTGTAAATAAAATGTACAATTTGGATGCGTGTCACACGCACAATGGGTTGTGTTGTGATGAGTGCACACACAGACACACACATCCACTTGTGATTGTGGAGTAATGAAGGTGTGGGATAGGGAAGTAATGACTGTCCAACTTTATTTGCTGCTGTTACATTAAATTTGAAAGAAAACTATAACATGTGTTATTAAAGGATACGTTACGTTGTAGTTTATTCCCTGATAGGATATACATGCATAGTTGATTATACCTTTCTTAGAAAATTAATGGATATTTTTCGAACTATAAACTAAAGTTTTCTATGAAAACGAACCCTTAAAATTTAATACAAAAAATGATTTTTTTATTTAAAAATTTTTTCTCTGTATTGGTTGCAACACTTCAAACCAATACATCTACATGATCTCCTCCATATAAATAACCCTCAACATGTATTTCTAGATTTTACCTTGATATTTTCCAATATCACATAATATGAAAAATAATGGTTTAACATTTTATTCCATCATCCCACATATAAATTGGGATAAATCCCTTTTATTCCCCTTCTAACCTTCGAGATATCTTGGAAACCATTTCCAAATAGACATCAAAAAAACACACACACACCTCAAACCTTCAAATATTTTACGAGACACCTAAAAACTGAAACTGAAGTGAAACAACCACAACATGTAGCAACATAAATTTAGTTTTAACATCGATGCTCACTATCCTGATGGCGCAAAACAAAAACTAAGAACCACTACAGGATAATCGTGTATATAAAGAAATTTGCTCTCACACCAACCTGCCTTATAAAAAATGCATTATGTTGTTTAGACATCTGTTGTGGCAGCTTTTACAATAAACTTTTTTATCTTCCTTATTCCTCCTAAATGTTTAGGTGGTGGTAGTTTTTTTACTGCTAACTGTTTAGTAAAAACTACTAAAACTACTTGAGGAAAAAATACGTTTTTTTTTTCAATCGCCAGACGTTAGAAAAAGTGTTGCAAACAAATGTTTCTGTCCATAAACTAACTTGGTAATCACATTGCAAAGTTAAGAACCGAACTTCTACATATAAAACACCATAATGTTCCGCAATTTGTTTGTGAAACTACATGGGTTTGATGGTGGAATGGAAACAAACACCAGTGGTTACTTGTTGGTTTTAAAATAAATTTTAAACAATTTAGAAAATTGTTAAATTTTTATTATGTTGATATATATATATATATATATATATATATATATCAGAGCTATATTCAGCTGAGGGTAAATTGATACCAGTTACTTTTCTTCATTAAAAGTTTGCAGGAAAAAGATCATTCAGCTAACGAAAATTGTATTCAGCTAAATAAATATCGATTAAATAAATATCGATGGTCGGACAGGGCCGACCATATGATACCCTACCCAACTTCCACAAAAGTCTAACTTTGTATGTATATTCTGAGCTTGGGCAATATTTTGCGATATTTGCACCCTCTCAGGCCAACAAATTTTACTAATATTCAGTACAGCTCGTCTAATTACTTGTCCAGATTCCCTTCACGGTGAATTGTTTTGTGATGTTCGGCTTTCAATTGTGCTATAGGCCACGACTCGAAACACACACACAAAATATTATGTTTTCAGTCCAGTTCATTCCAATATTGTTAACTGATCATCAGCAAAAATTATAGGCATGGTCCTTGGCCATACCTGAATCCTCATGGAAAATTTCAAAGCGATCAGCGCTATATTTCCGCCCTCTGAATACGGAATACGTAAGCACCTGTAAATATGTAAGTGTAACTCACACATCCGAGTACACACAACAATATAATTGGTAGCAATTTAAAGGTTAACCACTCCTCTTGGATATACTATCAACTTCTCGGGTCTATGTTCTTCAGGGGTAAATATATACGCCATAGAATATAAAAATTTTGTCATTTTTCACACAATAGTCAGGATCCATTTGACCCGCTAATTATTGACCGATCTTTATCAAAACAGGCATGCTTATTCTTTGGCCCGCTTCGCTTTTTTGTTTTCCATGTAAACATTCGCAATGTTTGGGGCATCGACTTCTCGGGTCTATGTCCTTCAGGGGTTAATATATATGCCATAGAATAGAAATTTTGTAATTTTTCACACAAAAGTCAGGATCCATTTGACCCGCTAAATATTTACCTACCTTTATCAAAACTGGAATGCCTATTCTTTGGCCCGATTTCCTTCTCCATGTAAACATTCGCGATGTTTGGGCCATCGACTTCTCGGGTTATGTCCTTTGGGGGTAAATATATACGCCATAGAATAAAAATTTTGTAATTTTTCACACAAAAGTCAGGATCCATTTGACACGCTAAATATTGACCGATCTATATCAAAACAGGTATGCTTATTCTTTGGCCCGATTCCCTTCTCCATGTAAACATTCACGATGTTTGGGCCATCGACTTCTAGGGTCTATGTCCTTCAGGGGTAAATATATACGCCATAGAACACAAATTTTGTCATTTTTCACACAAAAGTCAGGATCGATTTCACTCGCTAAATTTTGACCGATCTTTATGAAAACAGGCATGCTTATTCTTTGGCCCGATTCCCTTCTCCATGTAAACATTCGCTATGTTTGGGCCTATGTCCTTCGAGGGTAAATATATACGCCATAGAATACAAATTTTGTCATTTTTCACACAAAAGTCAGGATCCATTTGACTCGCTAAATATTGACCGATCTTTATCAAAACAGGCATGCTTTTTCTTTGGCCCGAATCCCTTCTCCATGTAAATATTCGCGATATTTGGGCCATCGACTTCTCGGGTCTATGTCCTTCGGGGGTAAATATATACGCCATAGAATATAAAAATGTTGTCATTTTTCACACAAAAGTCAGGATCGATTTGACTCGCTAAATATTGACCGATCTTTATCAAAACAGGCATGCTTATTCTTTGACCCGATTCCCTTCTCCATGTAAACATTCGCCATGTTTGAACCATAATTGCGGCCTCTGGAATGACAAAAAAATCAAAATACAGTTTTACAGTCCCCTAAATACAGTTTTACAGTCCCCTAAATATTAATGTTATATTAACGCCTGAATAAATTGCTTGAGTGTGTTGCCTTTATTTATATTTTTATATAAGCTTTGTTATTTTATAATTTTGAAAATTTCCATTCTGTATATAGAAACCGGATAGACAACCAAGTGTGTCCCCTTTAGTTTTAATTTATTTTCTAAGCACAATATTTATTATCACTTATTTGTTCCAAATATAAGCTTTTTATTATAATTTTTGTATTTTCCTATAATTTTTTTAAATTTAAAATTTTGAAAATATTTTTCAAGACAATTATATTAATAACCAAATATTTGTTTTTTTCTTGTAACACCTTTTACAGAGGAGCGGGTATGGAATCAAGGCATGATTTACTTAGTAAAAAACTCGAACGTGAAATGCAGCCACATCAACAGCAACAACAACAGCAACATCCACAACACCATCATCAACAGCATCAGCAATTTCTAATGACAACACCAACTTGACCCATTACAACAACAGCGGCGGCCACGGCAGCTGTAGTCAACGGTTCCCAACATTCCCAACAACAACAGCAGCAGGCGCAACAACAACTGCAGCAACATTTACAGCAACAGCAACACTATCAGCAATATGTGGCCCAAGCCATGCAACAACAGCAACAGTCTCAGCCGCCGCCACAACATCAACACCAAGCGCCGCCACCACCACCACCCACGGCCGCTGCCAATCAACATCATTATGTGAATAATGCGGCAACGATAGCTGCCACCCATCACATACCGACAACCCTTATTGCGGGGGCACCACCCGGCTCGGCAACGGGCCTGTACTCGTATGTGTTGCCCACAGCTACCCATATAGCGGCATAGTACGTGGCAAAGCAATTTTTATTTGGTAAATTCTAAAAAAAACAAAAACAAAAATTAAAGAGCAATGGTTAGGTAAAACAACACAAGCAAAGAGAAACAAAACCAAAACAAGCAAACATATACATATACCACTCCTACTCCCCTCTACAGGATAACTAAATTTGTTTTCTAAACGAATAGATAAATATGGCGCGCAAATATGAAATACCAGAGCGGAGAATGAACGATATATACATACATACGTACATATATGTATGCATACATCAATAATAAATGTGTAGGTGTATTGTCTAGTTGTAGATGTACTATATATATAATACCATTAATAATTATTATATTTATGTTGTGTTTTTGTTTTTGTAATCATAGAAACAAATATTTATATATACATACAAACATACATATAGATAATAGACAAAGAAAAATCGTATATAGCAATAGATGGATAAAAAAAATATCTATTGGTATTTTTGAACCGAACCATATAGTCGGCATATTAGCTAATAGCCAAAGGATCTAGCTGGACATAAAGAAAGAAAAAAATGGCTAAAGGCTAGATCACAAAATGGGTTGATTGCTTTAAAAAATAAATTAAAAATAATAATTAAAAGTAAAACAAAATTAAGCTTTGGGAGCAACTTTTTGGGGAAAAACAAGTCTCTCTCTCCCCCCAGACTCTCTTAATAAGCGGCATTGATATTTGAGTTTGAAAAGCATAGCATAACTCAAAAAAATAATGAAAAACGATATAGAATATATCTCGTAAAAATTATTAATTTAAATAAAAAAATTAACTCATAACAACAATAAAAGACATCAATAAAACCCCAGTTAAAAAAATGAGAATACTAAAATAAAATAAAAATATTAATAAATTATTAAAAAAAAATATATATTACGATAATATTAGCTTTGTAAGATGACAAACAAGTAGACAAAAAAACAACCCTCGCCCCCTTTTCGAAAAGAAAATACCCCCTCTCTCCATCAATAGACATTAACATCACAGTATACATGATATTAATTTTCGGTCTTTTTGGGTTTTGGTTTTTGTTTTTTTTAATTTTTTTTTTTATTCGACATATCTTTTAATTCAGCAAATTTTTTTGCAGCTGAATAACACTTAAAAATCAGATAAATGACTAATAAGTAATAGATATTGCAGTATGTGGCTCTCAGAACCAATTCAGCAAAATTTTTCCGCAGCTGAATAACAATTAAAAGCCATATAAATGGCAAATAAGTTATCACTATTGCAATATGTTGCTCTAGGAATCAATTCAGCTATAGATTATGAAATAAAATTGGAGTTACGGTTGAAGTGCGTTTTCTGTTTTCCCTAAAGTGTAATTTATTTATTCAGCAAAGAATTTGCTTAGCTAAATATCAAAAATCGAACTCACTTAGACTTGAAATTAAAAAAAAATCCATATTTTTGTTTGATTTACACCAATTCAGCTAGGTATTTCTGTAGCTGAATTGCAATTTATAATGTTTGATGACGTTAAAACTTAATGCAGCCATTTCCATTTAATCCATACATCATTGCAATAGCCTAAATAATATAAATATTTCTTAGATAATTGTTAATTTGTCAATTCAGCATAGGTTTTTCTTAGCTGAATAACAAAAACTCATATTTAGAGAGGCATACATACATGAAAACAATATTTAAGATCGATTTCTATGAATTCAGCTGTGTATAAATTTTACTAAATTGGATTTTATTCCCAAAAAAAATCATGTTCTTATTCAGCAAGGGATTTTCCCAGCTGAATAGCTAAAATATTGTTCTGGAAAACTTCAACCGTTTGGAAAATATCATTTATGCATGCTTTATACAAATTCAGCTGTGTAAAATTTTTGCTAAATTGAATTTTATACCAAAAAAATTCTAATAATTTGATTTTTCTTAGCTGAATAGCAAGGACCGTATACAATAATGCTTAAAATACATGCTATAACATTTCTGTGCTGGATTTACCCTAATTCAGCTAGGTTTTTCTTAAGCTTAATTGTTTTTTATGATGTTTCGACTTTTATGATGTGCTTTTTATGGATATTTAGAGAGGCATACATACATGAAAACAATATTTAAGATCGATTTCTATGAATTCAGCTGTGTATAAATTTTACTTAATTGGACTTTATTCCCAAAAAAAAAAAAAAAAAAAAATCATGTTCTTATTCAGCAAAGGATTTTCCCAGCTGAATAGCTAAAATATTATTCTGGAAAACTTCAACCGTTTGGAAAATATCATTTATGCATGCTTTATACAAATTCAGCTGTGTAAAATTTTTGCTAAATTGAATTTTATAACAGCTGAATAGCAAGGACCGAATACAATAATGCTTAAAATACATGCGATAACATTTCTGTACTGGATTTGCCCTAATTCAGCTAGGTTTTCCATAAGCTTAATTGCTTTTTATGATGTTTCGGATACTTTAAAAAATTATTTTTATTATTTTATACGAATTATTGCGCCGTAAAAAAATATTTTTTAAACATTTTCAAAATTTGTTTGTCATAAAAAATGTTCTGTATTATTTTTTTTATATTCAGCAAAATTTTTTTGTTAGCTGAATTGCATAGAACATATTACGAAATGTTTTTAATATATTAAAAATTACTTTTATTAATGATTTACCTCAATTCAGCTGGGTGTTTGTTTTGCTGAATTGTTTTTTTTTAATATTTCTTAATTGTTTTATTTCTTTCATTCATTGAAATCATTAAAAAAAATCTACCAAAAAAAGGAATTGACAAACATAGACTTCATGTATGCTTGTTGTTTTTTAAAACAAAAAATTAAACAATTAGAATAATTACAGCTAATGAGGAAAAACGTTTAAATAAATCTTTAATGAAAACAAAAAATTATTAAGAAAAAAATTTTAGAAAATTAAGCTTGAAATGGAAAAGAAGAAAAACAAAACAAAAATAGTTTAGATAACAGTTTAAAAAATATTAGAAAAAACCAAACAAACATATATAAGAGTTTAAGTATAGCTTAACCGTATGTGCCCTTTTTTAGAGAAAAACAAGAAAAAAAACCAACAACAAAACATAAGCGAAAACAACAAACAAACCAAGGCAAAATAAAAGCTCTCTCTCTCTTTTTTTTGGAATTTCTTTGGCTACAAAAGGATTTAAATGGGAAGAAATACTGGTTTGAATTATTAGAGCAAAATAATAAAAAAAAAATTATTAAATAGAACAAAAAAGCTACAACTACAAAAACAACGACAAAAACAAGCAATTTTGCTGAAGATAATGATGATGATGATATTTAAAAATAAAGCAATTAATGCTTATGAGGAAATAAAAAAAATACAATTTTTTAAAGAAATAAAAAAATAATCCATTAATGAATAGAAAATCACAAGAAAAAGGTTTCGAAATTCAAAAAAAAAAAATTATGAAATTTAAAAAAACTAAATAATTATAAAAAAATAAAATCTAGTTAAATGAAAACATAAAATTTGAAAACCTTATAAAGAAAAAAAACCAAGAACAACAAAGACTTTCCTATACAAAAAAAGAAAAATACCAGAGAGAAAAAAATATGGAATGAAAGGAAAAGTAAAGAGAAAAATCTATAGTAAAAAATCAGAGCTCTATTTCATATCCTGCCCCCAACCTCCTGGATTATCCCAACCTCCCTCTCTCAGAACAGAACTTTAGATCTTGAAATCGATGTGGAAACAAAACTATACTCTGTCTATTAAATTACTTACTTCAAATTTTCCGCCCAAACAACAAATACTATGTAACAAGAACAACAAAAACTTTTTAAATTTATATTTATTAAATGACAAAACAAAGAAGAAGAAGAAAAAGATGAAGAAGCAGAATACAACAACAACTTTTAGATACAACTTTTTTTCTAGACGCAACAAAAACAAAAAACCAACCAATAAGACACAGAGGGCCTCAGAACATAGGAGTTTTTTTCTAAGAACCATTTTTCGTTAGCTCGAACAATCAGACAACTGGGAAAACTTTTTTTGGACTTGCAACAAAAAAAAAGAAAAAAAAAATGAAGAGAAAGTGTTAGAGAGCAAATAATTTCTCTCTTCTCTAACTAAGACTCCTAACTAAAGCAACAAGAACAACCACAACAAAACAAAACAAACAACAACTGTAAACCGAAAACATATCAATGAATTATTCAAAAAAAAATAAATAATAATATTATTATATTATATACTAAAATTATAAACTTATATATATTTAAGAAGAAAACAAAAAAAAAACAAAATGTTAAAATTTAATACAAACAAAAAGACATGGGGTTTTATTAAAAATTTAATAAAAAAATATTTAAAAATATATCAATTATTATTAAAAAAAAATAAATTAATATTATAACAAAAGAAAGGAAAGAAGAATTGAAGCAAAACAAAAAGAGAAGGGAAATTTTTAAACAACATTTTTTTTTCTCATTAGAAATTATATTTAAAATATAATAATTAATTTTTGTTTTTATTATTTAGGCAGGGTGTGACAAAATAGGAAATTACAAAATATACAAATAAAAATTTTTAAACATTAAATGGAAATTCCAAGATTGCTTTGGGAACAAAAAAATCGTATTTAAGTTAAAAATTAAAAAAAAAATACAATATAAAAATATATAAAATAAAT